TTGCGACTTTGTCTCAGGCTAATTAGAGGTGGCACAGTGAAGTCCTTGTGTCTCCAAACTTGAGCACAGATGGGCTCTCAGACTCTGCTTGTAGGGACCAGCTCTGCTGAGCCTGCATCTTACTCTCAGGTTCTGACAAAGTCTGCCAGAAGCTAGAGGAGTTTGCTACCATTTTTCCAGTGATGAAATAAGATTCTTAGCATGTAAGGGGATGAAATTCAGTACCTGGCTTTGAGCAAATCACCAAAAGTAGGTAACTGAAAAAGAAAGATCTGAAAGTGCTCTTTTTCAACCATATGCACTCAAAAAAAGAAGAAATTTTTACTTGAGACATTCTTGTTTGGTCCAGCCATAGCCAAATCACAGATCTGACTCAACAGACTGTGGTTTACTAAGTACTTTTTGGATGTCCTACAGAGGCTGATTGTGTGAGCACCCCCAGCCATACACACCACAGCTCTCATACGCACCGGGCAATCGGACATTCAGTCATGAAAACATACCCTAGTTCCACCTAAAGGAACAGAAATTGGTGTAAATGAGCATTTCCCCTCGAGGCCTGCATGACAGAAACATGATGTACGAGTACTCCCTCTGAAAAAATTCCCTTCCCTTCCTAGAAATTGCCAATCAATGACATCAGTTCTGGTTTACCCATTAGCTTGGCCAAATCCTTGTGAACACCTCCTGACACCAGAAAGGGACCCATATATATGATGTCCTTTGTGGCACAGGTAAGCTGCACACACTCAGCTGTCAGAGCAATACAGATGTGCCTTTACTTGCAGTTGCCACATGCACCAGCTGCTGGTGCTCTCTATGGTCTCATCACTAGAATGATGCTGGCTCCTTGCAGGCTGTCCAGCTCTTCCTGCTGGGGCTCCATGGAGGCAGGTTGAGCTCTAGGTTTGGTAAACACAAGTGCTAGTCTGGAACGATCTGGTGTGACCTCAGCTCATCCTCTGGCTGTTGAGGTGCTGCCCAGGGACACCCCATGCCAAATCAGGATCTGGACCTTGTCCAGCTGTCCCACAGTGCGTGCAGACACAAAACATATGGAGACCATGTTTCATGGATTCCTTTTCAGTTTCATGGGCTTGCCCTCCAGCAGTTGTATTTAACATCATCAGCCCCTGGTGCTGGCTCTCCAGCCTGGATAACGCTGCTGTTTATCCACATTGGTAGGGCTGCACTGCCCATGGCTTTGCAGCGCAGCTGGAATGGAGTGATTTCGTGGCAAGCTGTGGGACTCCTGACAGTCATCCCCTATGGAGTGTCAGTGGTGAGAGTGCCCCGTGTGTGCAAACCACAGTGTGACTACCCCGTCCCTTGGGGGGGCCCCTTTGTCTCCACACCTATACCTTGCCTCAGTGCTCCCTTCTCCTCAGGTTGGAGCTCTGGCCATGTCATGACACCTCAGACAAAGAATACTGCAGGTCATTTCAGGTGGCCACAGCAGTGAGGTTGAACTCAGATGGGTGTGCTGTGCTCTTGCACCAGCCACATACCCTTCCCACCTCCTCTGACCAAACACACGCACAAACACACACTCACACCTATTTTAGAAACCTTTTTTAAAAGAAAGAGAACATTACTGCAGGGGTCCAAAGCCTACAGTTTCACCTCCAGTTAAAGTAAAACCAGACAATTTACCAAAGACTTTCAACGCTGTTGATTTACCATTACATTAATGCTGGCCCAGGTGTGAATTTTTTTTGCTGTTTTCTGGAAAACCCTTTCACTGAAAATTCTGTACCTTGCAATACTATTGCAACAATTTTCTTCTCCTACTCACCTTCCTGCTGAGAAAGAGACTGCCAGTCTCCATAGGCTTTTTACATCCAGCAGATTCTTTGGAATTCATCTGTAGAGGAAACCTCACACTCCTGGGAGCATCGTTCCTGGACACACACAGATGCTCACACACCCCTCGACCCCTTTCCCCCCACCTTTATAGGCAAAACAAAGAGAAGTTTAACAAAATCTGCAAACTTTGCAATCTTGAAGTTTAATGATTTGCATTTGCTTCTCCACATCTGCAGTAAGCTGCAGATAACATGTTGGCAGTTTTCTCCATGACACCAACAGCACCTGCTGTGTGTTCCTCTTTCTCTGTTTGGAAATCGGGGTTTTCCAGCACTTGATTTTTAAGTACATTCTTAACAAAGAGAAATAAAACTTGTGGTGCAAGAAATGCAGGGAGAAAGTATAAGGTCATTGATAAGTGCCTGGAAAGTGTTCGTGGCAGTGAGTGCATTTTTATGAACTTTTATATCATTCATTTGTCAAATTTTCCATTGGACCACTGGCTCTCTCAGCCTGGAGCAAGCAGCACTGTGTTCTGCACTTATTTCTGTGTTGCATACAAGAAGCACTTTTCCTTGCCTTTTAAAAGGACTACCAGACAATTTGCACTAATTTCTGCATCCTTTTCAGAGAAGCTGTAACCAAACATCTCCTCACCTTCTCAGCACTGGTCACCATGAGCACACTTTGCTCATTTGTTCCTTTTTCTCTTTTTCCAAGCTGACCAAAAGACTGCATTTACGCAGCTGTGGTTTTGTGCCAATAATTATCCTTTAAAATCTTTGTCAGTAACGTTTCTTGCTCTGATAAGCCACTCCAAGATGAAATCAATATGCATACATAAGGTGGCAGCATTCCATGGTGGCTTTTACGGTATTGCAAGCCTGGTTTTTGACTGGAATGCCTTTCCAGTTTTCAAACGATGCTCACAGAGACCTGCAGGTGCAGGTCCCAACTGTGAGCAGCACATCTGGGGCCTCACTCATCCTGTGCCTCTGCCACCAGTGTTCCCCTTACATTACTCCTTCTGTTTTACACATGTCCACATGACTTTTAATAGGACTTGAGATTGCCCTGTTCATTATAAAAAGGTTCTTCCAGAACTGCAGTACCCACATTATAGATTTACTCAGGGCAATAAAAATTATTCATAACTTACCCTTCAGCTCTTTAAGGTGGAAGAAAAGTACTTCCTGAGTATCTACTGAGGAGCTGTGAGTGCTTGCTGAGGTTTAAAGATGAGCTGGTTGTGCAGAATTACACACAACAAAATATGTGAGGCACGTGTAAACAATCCGATCCCAAATTTACAGAGAAGTATCTAATTTCTTTCAAATAACAAACATGCATTTAAGGAGAGACTAGAGAAGGTGAGCTCAGGAAGAATGTGTTGGTTGCAGAACTGCCCAGAGCTATGGCCAGTGTGTTTGCACCTCTGTGCTGTGGAGAGAGATCGAGGGCAGCACAAGGGCTGAGCATTCTGGTCCTCGGACAGATATGATGAAAGGGAACCAAGGAAAGCAAAATCAGAAGTTCTCTACAGCAGTCTGTAACTGAAGTTCCTGAAGAGGTGTGCATTTTCACTGCAGGGATTGTGAAGGAAGAGCAACCACTGCATGTCCAACCTATTTTTCAGAGGCAAAGGTAAAAGAAAGATAAATTTTGCCTGGGTGAAGGTGCTCTTCGGGACTGGTACCTGCAGAGCACTGCTGGTTCTTAGGAAGTATCCCCTACTTCATACTCATATTCCTGGCGGTTTTCAACACACTCAGATGCATTCTTATTTACTTCTTCAACACTTTTGTTTTCCAGGGGCTCCATCACATAGTTGTTTTCAGTAAAGGAGATGGGTTCCTCATAGTGCCCTGTGCTTTCATGCCTTGAAGAAGCTGCTGCTCTCGAGTTATGGCTGAAATCAAAATGCAGTATGAAAGAAGAATAGCAACCAGAGTAGACAAAGATCCCCCAGCCATCAGGATTTTGAGCAAGACTGTGGGCTGACTCCAATCCAGGAAAACCTGAGCCATTGGATTATGGCAGTATTCTGAAGGAGAGAACTTTGTCCTTTGCTTTCATGTGGCAGGAGAACTTTGATCATTGTAGCAGCATTGCTTCCAACCCAGAGAGAGTTTCCAGAAGGAGGCAGCAAAAGGTGTGGAAACAATGCAAGGATTACCACTATTTCTTGGAATGCCATAACCAGACAACTGCTCTTTACAAGAAAAATATACATGTGTGTATATATTATAAGAAGTTTTGGAGGAATAGTAAATTGAGAACTGAAAGCAATCCACATCCACTGTGTGGCTTATGATATCTAATATTTTTGAAATGAAGATAAATCCTCTGAGAAGAAATACCATCACAGCATTTGTTCAGTTGCTCAGGGTTCAGCTGTTACTTAACTGCTGCCTTAAACACTGCTGAGGAAGCCCAGCACCAGGGTAGATGCTGCTGGCACATCCCACTGTGGCACTCAAGTCAGCAGAACTTTAGTTTGTACCTGGGCAAGTGGTTCCCTTTGTGTGTTTTGACTAGATTATCAGGCTTTCCAGTATAACTCTCACAGGTTACAAGTAGATCAGGATGTGAAACCTGAATTTAGAAATAGCCATAACTTCCTGCCACAGATAGGGTTAAGAAGAGGCAAGTTCAGCCAAGGATACTTTGGGGATAAATCAGGGCATAAGTATTGCACCAGGAGCCTCTGCTCTCTGGCTCCTGTTCTTTGCATTTAAAAAAACACTGGGAATTTGTCCTGGACAATCACCTTCAGTAGTCCTCGTTGGGTGGAGGAGTTAATAAACCACTCTTGCTCACTTTTACAATTCTGATATTGCTAAGAAAAAGATCTTTCTTCCCACATTCTGTGTTGCTGTGGAAAGCCTGCAGGTCATCCTATGTGGATGGAACCTCTTCACCCTAGCTGCTTAAGGGTCTTTTCATTCTGACAGCTAATAGCAGTGCTTTTTATTTCTGCTCTGATACAGCCCCCAGGACTCATCAATGTGTCAGATAAAGAGTTATACTCACAATTTTACGTCATAGGCTTGAGCTGGAAAAGAATAATCAAATTTCTGTCAATAATTTGCATTCACATTCTTTAAAAAGAATTTCTACATTTATCTTCTTGATGTAAGAAAATGACCTCCTAAGACAGAATAAAGATAACAACTTTGGAGATCATGTCAGGTGGGTGATGACTTTAATTCTCAGGAATCAGTCCAAGAAAATGAAAACAACCCATATCCCAGCTGTCACACAACTGGGTCAAAATAACCGGCCCAAAGTCAAAGGTGAAGTTGAATTTAGAAACTAGAAGTTCCCAGTTACCCCCAGTTTCCCTATTCACTGGAAGTTCAATAAAGGACAGTTTTGAAAGAGTTTTATTCTGATTACTTAAAAAAAAAAAAGAAGAAAAAAAAAGAAAAGTAAAATGAATATTTGACAAGTATTAATTGGTAGAATGGAGTAATAGAAGTCATTAAAGAAACAAAGGGACAAGGAGAAAATTAAGTCTGTGGGATCTAAAACCCCAAAGCCCTCATGTGCTCTCTGCACACAGCTGAACACAGCAGCTGAGGGGCTCCAAGAACATTTGTTTGGGGGCATTTCTGGTGTCAGTGCAGGAGAGACAGAGCCATTCAGTGAATGCATCCTGTGTCTGAGGGCCAGAGAGGAAACAAATTAATCTGGAATAGAGAGAATGAACAGTGACCTCTTTCCTCTGGATACCAACTAAGGAAACTATTGAAGGGCAGCTGGTGCCAAAGGCATTTCCAAGCAGTAGGATGGGATGAACTCACTGCCAGAGATTTTAAAGGTTTAGAATGATGAGCTTGGCTGAGCAGGCAAGTCTGAGCTGTGGGATGTCTGTGAGGAGCAGCGAGAAACAGTCATCCCAAGTCACTGTGGCAAAACAGCTGCACACTGCGGGGTGAGCCCTGGGGCAGAGACTGAGCTGCCCCAGAGCCAGCTGATGATGGGGGAAGCCACTCAGGAGTACCAGGGCAACTGCTGCCCTGACCCCTGTGGCCAATGCCTGGCAGACCCTACTGAATGTGGGGACTTCTCTGCCTCTTTGGATCTTCTACCACCTTTGTCAATCCATTCATGTTGTCATCCGCTGTCTGTACGATGCAGATGCCACAGCTGCAGCTGGTGGCTGTGAGCATAGCCCTAGCCCCCTAAAAACCCTCAAAGGTAAAACCATGCTGGACATCCACAAAACATTCAGGTTTTCCAAAACATTCTACTCACCATCTTTGGGCCTTCTAATCCAAGTGATAAGAAAGATGATGAGGAAAACCACAGCACCGCACACCACAGCAATCAGGATGACCAGGTGCAGGGACAGGCCGGTCCTCTGGAAATCTAAAGCAACACAACAGAGGACTTTCAGGCAGAGGAGCCCTTCTGAGCGACAGCAGCAGCAGTTCCATGACACTGAGCACATCCCCGAGGACAGCAGCAGGCAGCCCTGCCTGGCCACAGGGCTGTGTCCCCACGGCCTCCTGTGGCTCTGGTGGGTGCTGTGTGTGACCCAGCACTGGGTGCACCTCACCAAGGGACCGTGGCTGTACACACAGTGCCCATCTCCCAACACTGAGGCGACCAGGGGTGCAAGCAAGGCGGAACAATTGCACTGCACATCGTGAAATAAAGGCTCTCAGCTTTCCTTTCAAGGGTGCTGCTCATTTGTATCTGGAAAGTGTTTAAACCTGTCACAATGCTGAAAAGCTGGACAAAGTGCAGGAGATCTGCTTGAGGTGCACACTGAGGCTTTTCTGCTACTCCAGCTTTGACACTCAAAGATAAAAACAGACCAGCTGCTCAGGAACACAGGAACGACTTTGTGTTCCCCACCTGGGAGCGTTTTTTTCTTTCATTCCTCCATAAAAACCACTCAAAGTCTTTCAAAGAGTCAACATGAATCATCTAGGTCCCTTGAGAACAGTTGTTAATACAATTTGCAGGCAAAAGGCAGAACACAAATTTTCATGCTGAAGTTGCTGACTACAGAGCATTTGTTTTGGGTCCCTAATCTTCTCAGCTTGGTTTTACTCTCACTTACCCTGAGTTGTGTAGTTCTTCTCTGGATATCCCACACCACTCTCAGAAGTCACTGCAGTCACTGTTATGGGCAGATCT